AAGGACTTTGACACTAATCCAACAACTACAACATAGCAACATCTTATAAAAGGATACATAATCTGTTGGGTCAGCATTGGTGCTTTCAACCCAGAAGTATAGTGAGGAAAACTCACCTCTAAGTCGAAATGCAAGCTGAAAAAATCCCAGTTTCGAAAAATCAGCTCAACGATCACCTAACCAAAACCAAGGACCTAATCTTAATTTACAACTCAAAAGACCCCTAGGTCCAACTTGGTCAAAACTCTGTTCAAAGGTCAAGGTCAACGATTTAACTCGGTTAACTCAACTGAGTACACAGGGCGTACTTAACTTCTACGATGGGAGTACTCAATCCTTAATCGGGATGGAGAGGTTGACCCCGTACGTGCAGAGTACACTGGGTTACTCACAACGTATGCACTAAATTCTTTTTCCATAATAAGAGATTAATGTGTGAAGCTCTCACTTTCCAAGTGTAGATCCAAGGCCATAATACCGTTGAGAATCATAAATTATCCAACTTTCTTACTTTGCATGCCCATTAAGTTCTTAATAGTAACAAACTTAACTTTTTAGCACCTAAAGACTTTTTAGAGCATGCATAGGGAAGAACTAAGCATTAAGATCTCGTTTTTATGACTCAAGACCCCTCATTGGGTCTGAAAGGGTAACTTATTTGGTTAATAACATGTCATGCTCAAGAATCACCAGGGTTGGGACCAAAAGAGCCCTAAATGAAGAAAGGATTATCTAGCTAGGAGCTTTTTACCTCCAAAAGGTTGCTAGCAAGGTGCGAATCCTAGATCCATGCTTCTTCTAAGCTCCAATATCCTTCTACCACCTTATTTTTCTTCAAGAACACCACCAAAACACACAAATGATTTCGAAGGTGCACTCTTCACACTTAGGGTTAGCTAGAGGGATGATTTTTAGGTGGAGGCTAACGAGGGGGAAGGTATTGGGGCCATAAGGAGATTATATAGGGTGCTAACACTCAAAACTAGGGTTTTGGGTCTGAAAAATATATATGCAACATACCTACTGAGTACGCCCGATGTAGGCATGCAATTCTTGCTTTCTCATGCATGAGTACGCCATGCATACACCCCGAGTACGCACAGTGTACGAACCAAAATGTCAAATCTTAAATATATTAGGGTTAAATATGAACATTTTCACGGAACGAGTGTTATAGTTCACCCCCACTTGAATTAGACATCGTCCTCAAAGTTCGATGTTGTGAATAACTCAGGATAATTATCCCGCATCTCTGCCTCCATCTCCCAGGTCCACTCGGAGCCTTTCCGATGCTACCACTGAACTTTTACCAAAGGTATCTCCTTGTTCCGTAGGACGTTCGTATTCCTCTCCACTACTGCTACTGGACTCTCAGTACAATTCAGGCACTCATCGGCCTGAATATCATCCAAAGGGACCATTGCCTCATTGTCCAACACACACTTCCACAACTACGAAACATGGAACATGTTGTGGATTTTACTAAGCTCACTCAATAAATCCAACCGGTCGGCTACCTTGCCCACCCTGGCCATCACACGGAATGCTCTAATATAACAAGGGACCTAATTTCCCCCTCTTCCAGAGGCATATTACACCTTTCTAGGGTGATACCTTCAGCAGCACCATATCGTCGACCAGAAACTCCAACTCCAATCGACATCGGTCGGTATAGCTCTTATGCCGACTCTGAGCAGTCTGAAATTTCTACATGATTAGCAAGATGAGCTATGTATTCTGGAGGACCACCTCATTCTTCCTTATGAATCTGTGACTAAGCTTCCCCCCAATAAACTAGGGTACGACATTTCTGACCGTGTAGAAGCTCGAAGGGTGGTGCACCAATGCTGGAGTGATAGCTATTGTTGTAGGAGAACTCCGCAAGTGATAGGTAGTAATCCCAACTCCCACCAAAATCTATGATACTAGCCGGCAATGAAACACTTGGATATGGAGATGTTCCTTTTTGCCCTTTAGAATTGAAAGAAATGCATTTTGGCCCTTGTAAGTAGTATGTGGGGCGTACAACAAGTTACGCTTGTCGTACTGGCTGAGATGCTAGTACACTCTGATGTACACTTAGCATAGTAGGGGGTGTGGATCGCGGGTCTGTAGCCTCATATGCTAGGCGTACGAGGAGTATGTTGGGCGTACGAGTGGGAGGTAAGAAAACCTTAATTTTTCTAGTTGTACCCTATGTAAGCCATATCTTAGCCTCTTTTAACCATTCCATAGCTAGCCTCCATATCCTAAAAACCCTAATTCATTCCATAGCCCATGTTTGATGATCTTGAGCACTTGTGAAGTTTTTATGGAGGGTAGGTTTTATATATCTAGAAGAAGAAGAAGTAGCTTGAAGACTTGTTCTTTGGAGGAGGGCTCTGAGATCCAACTTTATCATCCACTTTTGGTGGCTTGTGAGGTATAAAGTTAAAACCTTTGCATTTCATTTCTTAGATCTTCTCCATGGAATGTTGTTGGTTATTTTGTTCCTTTTGGTTGGTGATTGGGAATTAAGGATATTTTGGAGCTTAGACTTATAGATCTGGTCGTGTTAAGGGTTCCTTGTGCATAAAGGTTCAAACTTTATGGTGGTTTTGGTCTCATGCAAAGTATTAAGTCATTTATTAAGCTCCATTGAGATCTAGAGCCCCATTTAGGCCATGTATGCATATAAAGTTTGCAACTTTATATGATTAACCACCTTGTGGAAGTTAAATCTAAGTTTGGATCAAAGTCCTCGCGTACTCAGTAGGCTTGGCATTCATTGATTTGGGATTCGGCTTTGGGCTAGTATGCGATTGGTTGTCTTGGTCCATGTTGGGCTACCTAGCTTTTATGGTTGGGCTATTGAGACTTTATTGGACTCTCTAAGGTGAAGACCCATGAAAGGGATTAGGCCCAATTTGGAAAATTAGGCCATATTTGGGCCTTGAGGGCTTGTTTTAGATTTTGGGTTTTTGGATCATCTAGATTAGGCCTTGGTCTTGAACCAAGTTAGAGGAAGGGTAAAAAGATATCTTACCCCGACATGGACTCTTAGTGTGAGACAGGATCTAGTTATTTATGGGTTTTCTTTTTGGTATTTGATAGCGCATGGATTTTGGCGGATCTGCAGTCAGATTTCTATCCATGAGTTTCAACTGTCTGAGGTGAGTCTCCTCACTGGACTATTGGGTCGAAGGCACCAACACCGGTGTATTTGGTTTATGTATTATAGGAAGACCAGGGGGTGGCCCTTGGCATTTGTATGAAAGACTAGGAGGTAGCTCCTGGAAAATCTATATGCAAGACCAGAGTTTCAACTCTCTAAGATTGTATGTTAGTTGTCTCTATGATGCTTGCATGGAAGACCAGGAGGTGGCTCTTGGCACTTATCTGTATGACCTAGGGTTTTGGCCCCTGGCCTGGCAAGAAAAGACCATGATACAACTCGTGGCATGATGACAAGACTATGGTTGGCACATAGAATCATCTAATGCATGTTTGATGTGTATGACTCATATGTTATGTATGGTATGTGGTATTTGGGGAACTCACTAAGCTTTGTGCTTACAATTTTTGTTTATGGTTTCAGGTACTTCCGGTTTGTAAGGGAAGGGACCGGCTTGAGTGCAACTCATACACCCATATTTTCCACAACCTTGAGATTTTGAGATTGTACTCTGATAACTTTTTTTATTATAAAATGCCTTTAAGTGTTTTAGTGAATGATAAACGAGTTTTTTGGTTGTTTTAAAAATCGAATTTTTACCTTCATATCTTGGGATGTTACAAGTTGGTATCATAGCCTTGGTTTGAGGGATTCGGGCATACTTTCGGGTATGCCTGAACTCAAACTGATGGTTTGGTGAAAATTTTCATAAAATAAATGTTTTATTAAAAGGGTTTCTAATCAAATAAAGGGGTATGATGCGTGCAATTTGCCGAGCTTAAGTAAATGGTTCCCATAATACTAATACATGTTTATTATGATATATGATATGATTATGAGAATTGCATGCTAGATTAGGGCTAAGGATATGCTCATGATTTTATGATAGGAGTGGTGCCTTTATATGTCTGATTGTATGAGCTTTTAGATCTGCATGCACTACTAGAAAAATAGCCTTTTAGGACGTGCGAACCATGACACACAGTAATTTCTGATACGCAAAGGTGAGTGTCTAAAAAATAATGTCATCTCTTCCAAAATTTAAACGGTTTCAGACACGCATTTTTGCGTGCCCTAAAATTAGTGTCTAAAAAAAACACGGAGGGCACCTGCTGTCGTCTACGACCGTCACTTTATAAATTTTAATAGAACGCGCGCGTTCCATCTGGGGAAAATGAAATCCCAAAAACTTAAAATCCCCGCCTTCCTTTTTTTTTCTCCCTCCACTTTAATTTCCCTAGTAGCTAGGGCTTTTTTTCAAGAACTTGCCCCGATTGCCCTCCTGTACGGCTCGTTCTCTCTTCAACTTCCCTTTCTCTCCTTCTCACTTCGACAAACCCTTTCTCTTTTTCTCAGTTCTCGACGTCGACAACTTCTCCCACCTCCGACGTTTCTCTTGGTGTTGGCGCCTCCCACCTCTGACCTCCGTCTAGCCCCGCCCCACCGTCCAATGCTTTCCAGCGTCACCCAGCCGATGGAGCCCCTCATCTCCGGCAATCTCACCTCGCCTGCCCTTGCCAGCAACATTAGGTCCGGTGACCTTAGGGTCACTGCTTCTATTGCTCAAATTTACAAGCCCTATGTCTTACTAAGGTATGTTTTTCTTGATTCTAACTTCTCAATGTTTTCGTTCTTCTATAAGAACCCTAGCTTTGCTAAATCTCTTTTTCTTTCCGGCTTAATTTCTCTCTATTTCATTTACGATCGAAGGAACAAACTTCCGATATTTGGTGAAACTAACAATCGATGATGTGTGATTAGGTGAAATAATCAACTAGGGTTAACTAGGAACAAAGACACATGGAAACGGGAAAGGGGATGAAAAAGAAACACACAATATGTTTGATTAGGTGAAATCATCGGTTTTGGCAATTTTCTTGCCATCATTGGTACTACCGGAAAGCTTAGTTGGCAGGAGGAGTCGCTTCACTTTGGTTAATGCAGATACAGCAGTCTCTGCAGCATCAATGGAAGATGATGTTTTGGCTAATTTGATCAGAGGCTTCACATCCCCTTCTACAATATAAGAGATTTTGTTCTTGGACAAAGCACCCAAGGCCCGAGCTGATTGAGTGGCAATAATTTGAGTGTTGGTTGTTAAAAGCTTCATCAAGGATGCACAACCTCACCAGTTTCAAGACTATCACATATATCTTGACGAATGCTGAAGAGGTCAGCCGAGACAGAAGCTGCATGTTCCTGTGTTTCCTCATTTGAAGAATTAAGAATCTGAACAAGCGATCTCAACCCTTTATAAGCATCTGATCCTTTTTGAACAAGGTCATAATGTGATGCCATGGTAAACACATGACCTAGTACTTCAATTTTGTGAGCTTTTGAGTTTGGGGTGTCCCCCCAAAGCAGAGCTAGTAGCTAATTAATAGTGGCAGCATCTGCCTTGCGTATAAGCTTTCTTAGTGCCTTCCCTGAGGCTTCTTGTCCCTTTGTTCCACTAGTTTTCAAGAACCATAGGAAAGCAGGAATTGCTTCAGCACTTTCAACACATGCATAGATATCTTCACTGTGACAGCATAAGTTCCACAGAACATAAGCTGCATCCTCCCTCGCTTTATCAGATCCAGTTTCTAGTAAATGTACAAGTGGCGGAATACCACCAACAACAGTAATTGCCCACTTGTTATCGTCTATTTGTTCTGTTAGGATTGCCAGCAGCCAGACAACATACTCTTGATGTTCTTCACTTGATAAACCTAGAAAAGATATAAGTAACATGATTCCCTCTCTCTTTCTGATGGCTTCCCAAATGTCCACTACATCACAACATAAACTTATCATAGAGGTTATCAGATACTGTTGCACATCTGATGATGCCATTGTTATAAGCCCGATTAACACCTTCTTGGTTTCTGATTGATCAAGACTTGTTGAGAGGCAATCATTGCTCCGATTTCCTCAAGTATACGTTCCTGGACCAAATTATTTCGTATATGTTTGAATTCTTTGAAAAGTTTGATGTTGTGGTTATCAGTTGCTGCGTACTTACTGCCAAATACAATGGTCCATGCATCTTTTAATTAGCTGCTGGTTTAAATTTTCATTTATTTTTATAATCATTTTCATTTTAAATCTTACTAGCTTTTAATCTTTCCATCCTGACAAGAATTTTGTATTCTTATCTTGCTGATAGGTCCAAAGAAACTTGAATGGGATTGGACCATTGTGCTTCCTGATTTGCTGCTATCAATGGATGTTGTGTGAATCCTCATTGAAGTCTTCATTTTGGTTTAAGAGAACAAGGTGGAGAGTCTAAAAAGAGACAAGTTAGCAACAGAGAATCTCCTCCAAGAAACAAGTTACAACAGAGAATCTTCTTCCCCTTTTACATAATCACTTTCAATAATATTATTTTCATTTATGAATATTTTTAGGGGCTCAAGAACTTCACTAAAGGTGTCCGTGAACTCATTCAGCGTCTACAAAAAATTGATGGCGACAATTATCCCAAAACAACTTCATCAAATTAAAGATTAAGGTATTGTAGTTTACCATTTCTATTTGTGTTTTTTTTCTCTTGTTTAGTGAGGTTAATGGGAAGGGGAAAAATACAGATGATGTTTTAGCTTCAGAACAAATGGCGCCACGTGGGCAACTTGTTTTTGCAGTAGGAATTGGGGCATTTGTGTTTGTTCCCGTGTTCAAAGCTTTAACTAGTTTACCTCCTTATTTGGGTATGCTATTTGGGCTTGGAGTTCTTTGGATTCTAACTGATGCTATCCACTATGGTGAATCCGAAAGACAACGGTTAAAAGTACCTCAAGCTTTATCGCGCATTGATACTCAAGGAGCTCTTTTCTTCCTTGGGATCTTTTTGTCTGTTAGTAGGTATGCACTAAAATTGTTTTATCTGTATATTCAATGATATGAGAAGGACATTTTCATCTTTTGCACAGACAAAAGAGTCTCTTTGACTAAAGTTGCATCTTTATATCCTATTAGTCCAACTCCAATGCATGCCACACACAATACAAGGCAGTTGTGGAAACCTGCCTTATTAGAAATTAGGGTAAATTACATTTTTCACCCATGAAGTTTACTACTTTTTATGGATTTTGTCTATTTTTTTTAAACAAAAATTCATCGTCACTACAAAGGTTTTTGTCATGCTTGGGTTTAACGGCCATAAGTAAATTTAAAAATAATAGGAAAATGGTAATTTTGCATTGGTTTATCAGCCTAAAAGTAAATTTAATATTAAATGAAAATGTAGTAATAAGGGTAATTACTAATTTTTCATGGTTTCAATGGCCAAAAAGTAAATTTAATACTAAATGTAAAAAGTAAGGGCAAAATATTAATTTTGCATGGCCCTAAAAGTAAAATTAACACTAAATGTAAAAGCAAGGGTAAATTAGTAAATTTTAGATGACAAAAAAACCTTTGTGGGTCTGATAAACGTTAGAAACAAAATAAGAAAAGCTGGACCAAATCCATAAAATTTAGTAAACCACAGGGACCAAAAATGTAAATACACTTCTGACTTGGATTTCTTTTTTCGTGGAAATCTTGAAATTGTAGCCTTTCACATTGGTTTGCTTCATTAATGAAGTTTATTTTAATAATAATCTTTAATTAACTTTTGTGTCACTATATATTTGTTAACAGACACTTCATCAAATGTATATAATCAATGTTGGCCCTGGTTTTAGACTGCTTTGGAGTACTGTAAAGTCATTTCTAGATCCCAAAACAACTTCATCAAATGTATATAATCAATTCTGGCCCCGGTTTAAAGCGAACATGGAGGGTAATAAAACTCTTTTTTGCTATCTGTTCTGTTATATATTAGCTAATGTTTGTTTCCTTATTTCACATTGCAATCTAGACATATGGTAGCCTTCGAGTCCCTATGAAGGATGAACTTCAGTTAGCTCCAGGTGGTAGTTTCACAAAGGTAACTATCATCTCTTCTCAAAGAATATGATCCCAATTTGAACGTATCTGATCATAATTGAACATGTTGATGTATTTGAGCCTAAGAAGCAAAATATAGACATAAGGAAACTCAAATGCAAATTGAAGGATATCTACTTTCCGTATATCCAGGTTTGTTGGCTTATACATAACACATGGATGATATAATCTGTATTAGTGGACTACAAAAATAACACCATTCATGTTTACAGTGTGATGAATTCTCCAAGAAAGGAAGAAAAATAATGCCAATCGAATTTAAGGTTCCATTTTGTTTCTTGTACTTTAGTTGGTTCCTTTTTTTTCTTTTGTTGCAACTACCTTACCTAATCGCGAACTATATTTGTTATTAATTCATGTTTGTGAGACTTGTGCACTATTAGTTTCACCCGGTGAAATTGATGTTAACTCTTTTTATCTTGGATTACTTAACTGGTAGTATAGCAACCAAATGTCTCATTTTCATTAATTTGGCTAAAAAACTATTTTTATTGCCTATTAAGTCACTAAATTAACATTTTATGTTAAATATGTCACCATGCTTACAATTTTTTCTAACTTCCATTTTTTATAACATAATAAAACCTCACTCGCTAATGTCATCTCTTCTGACTTCCATTTTTTATATAATTTTTATTTGGGTCAGGAGGCTGCTGATGACAAAGCACCACACTCTGAAAGAGGCATCAAGTCACATGCAATTCTTGGTAGACAGGTCAAAGGAATTGTCACAGAGCAGGTTGTTATAATGCTTCACATGTTTAAAATAGCAATTTACTTTCTTTATTTTGCTTGTTGTAACATTATATATTGTAAGAAATTGAATTGTATGACATTAAATTTTATGCAATGGATTATATTTCTTTATATGGTATTTTATTTCTATTATTAGATAGTAAATGCAAATTTAATTTAAAAAATTAATAAATATATAAATTTTTTTAAACATTTAAATTTACGATACGCAAAAATGTGTGTCATCTTCATTTATGACATGGCCTTTCTTGACAGGGGTTTTAATGATACGCATTGTGTGTCATTAACACGCACGTCGTAAGGTTACGACACGCGAATGCGTGTCGTCTTCCTTTATGACAGGGCCTTCCTTGATACGCATTGCGTGTCGTAAACGCGCGTCGTAATTGCACGTTATAAATGGGCGTCGTCGTAAATGCGCTTCGTCTATAGACGACGTGCAAAAGCACGTCGTCTCTCTTTATGACAGGGCCTTCCTTTACGCGCATTTGCGCATCAACTAAGCCTTTTACGATGCACAATGAGCGTCGTAAAAGGCTGTTTTTCTAGTAGTGATGCTAGTATGATTTTCAAATTAGTGGATATAATGGCTTGAGTGTAGATATGCTGGAAACACATTCCAGTACACTTAAAATTGAACTCATACAGATTGTCTATAGATCTCGCTACTCAATTTAGGTGGACAACAATATCCTTGGTCGTCGTCAGCTGAATGGTCCTTAAGATATATTATCTAGAAACCTAAGATCACTTTGTCTTACAATTATTAGTATGTCCTAAAATTGTCACAAATTTCTTTTGTGTTTAAGTGGACAACAATACCGGCGATCGACCACACAAAGATGCGAATATGAAAGGTACCGACAAGTGGATTAAGGTTGTCTAAAAACTTTGATTCCAAATCATTCTTAAAGTTAGATATCATTTTATTTTTTGTTAAATTTGTTCATAGTTTTTTTTTCTAATTTAAATATTAGGGGAGAATTAAAAAAATCAGAATAAAAAATTGGTGTTATTTCTGTTTTATTTCTTGTTCTGAAAAATAAAAAAAATCCAAAAATATTTTTGTGTGCTAAGTTTTCTTTTAGTTTTGTTTTGTCTTGAAAAGTGATTTCAGGTATAGATAAGACTCATAGAGTTTGCGTTGAAGATTTCTGAGCCAAAGCCTCGTCCGTGAGCATCGAAGAATTCGCATTCGAAGGAGCAAGATATGAAGATTATTCTTTCAACATTCAATCCTTCAACCCCAGAAGCAAGGTGAAGCTGCAATTGAAAATTATGTGACGGATTGCATTGAAACCTTGTCAATCAGTCTGTTGCTATCGTTGTACCTGCTGAAGTGATCCATAAGATTTTTTCTCTCTGATGTTCTCTCTGAAGATTCTCAAACTGAAAGCGCCATTTTTCAAGAATCAGTACGTCAAGCCTCCTCACCCAATGTGCATTCAATGCCAAATTCTAAAGAAAACCTTAAGTGCTCAAGATGTAGTCATTCATTAAAGATTCATATGTTCATCCTGATTCTATGAAGAAATCGAAGGTTAAAGTTGAAGCCAAGCTCCCATTGAAGTTTGACAAGAAGAGCCAGCTACTTTTTAGGGGGAGCTTGTTGGGTCATTAAGAAAAGAAAGCTATAAACCATGGGAGAGATTTTTGGGTCAAAATATGGTTTATACTTTTCTTTTCTGGGCAAATGTATTTTTCTGTAATATTTTTGAAGTTTACGATCATGTTTACGGTTGAGTTTACGGCCGTAAACACCTTACGACCGTAAACCCATTTACGAAGCATGTCCACCAAGCCCATGTTCCCCTTGTATAAATATAGGTGTTAGTGTGTGAGGAACTGATTGATGAACCCTAGAGAGTTTACGGCTAGAGAGACAGAAGAACTATTGTGTGTTAGTGTGTGTGTGAATCTCTTGTATCCGGATCATCATTCTATGCATTAATACATTGAGATTCATCTTATTCCTCTTCTTCTTCTCTTCTATTTTATCTGACATCATCCATTTGATTGAGATTCCACACCATCAAACGGATCTAACTGATACACAGGCAGATTAGGGACTTACGGTACCCGCACATAAATACATATAATGACATATACTGGGTCCACAACTAAGAGTGGATTACCCTTGAGCCCAC